TGGAGATGGGGCCTTGGAGAGATTGTGAGGTTATGAGCATGGGGCCCTCATCGCAGGGCTAATGGCTTTAGAAGAAGAAACACTTGAGAGCTTGTTCTCTCTTTCTTTCTGTTTCCTGTGAGGTCTCAGTGAGAAGACAACCATCTACAAAGCAGGAAGAGGGGGACCCTGATGCAAACTTAACAGTGCTGGCACCATGAACCTGGATTTTTGCCTCCCTAGGAGAAAAATTTCTGTTATTCAAGCCACCTGGTCTATAGTATTTTAGTACAGCAGGCTAAGCCAAACTATGACAGGTACTTAGTAAATAAATTGAACACAGTGTATGCAAAGCTAAATAAATTCAGCCTTTTCTTTTAAAATATTTTCCTTTTCTCATTTAATCGCCATTTAAACTAGAATCATTGGTTTCATCCTTTAAGTATGCCTCTTATATATTCGCTTCCCAAATCTTATTACTTTTGTCTCTAAATTGTTTTTTGGACTTTGGTCTCTTTATTCCTCAATTCTTTCAGAAGAGACTCTTTCTGTAGTCTATCCTTAACACTGACTGATACAAGGTGTATATTCCTATGTGTAAATGCAATCATTTCTCACTTCTTAAAATCCTACAGTGACTGAAGAGAAATAAAAATATATATTCACACAAAGACATAGAAGAAAGTCCATAGCAGTCTTATTTACAAGAACCCAAACTGGAAAACAACCCAAATACTCATGAACAAATGAATGGATAAATAAAATGTGGTATGTTTATGCAGTAGACAAAAAGGAAAAAAGAAACAAGAATGAGTTACTGATGGACCTATAAGAAAGAATTTCATTACAATGAGAACAAGAAACTAGAAACAAAAGGATACATATTACATAATACTATATATAAGATATTTAAGAAAATACAAACTAATTGGATTAGCAGATACCCACAGTTAGTAGCAAGGAGAGGTTTGAGCTGTGAAGAGGAAGGAGTCTTTTTGTGCGCCTGCGGTGCTGAACGTTGAACCCAGAGCTTTGGACATGCTAATAAGCAATACTTTACCATTGAGCTCACCACAGGGAATCTTTTGAGAGTAATCAAAATCATCTGTATCTTCATTGTGGTTCCAGTTTCAATGATGTGTTACATTTGTCAAAACCCATTGTATTGTGCTCTTTACATGGATGCAGTTTATTTTACATAATTTTATGCCTTTATAAGAGAAATCCTACAGGGATTGCCTCTCAATTGCCTTCAGGATGCAGGCCTTGTGTCTCAACTACGTGATTACAAGTTACTTTTACTTATTGGTGTGTTGACTCCAGCTACCCCACACTACTGACCATTGTCTGATGTGCCAAGTACTTTTATTTTGTTGTCTTGGCTCATATTCTTCACTCTGAATTGTTCCCCACCATCTTTTTTCTATTTCTTAATAAAAACAAGTATGTCCTTAAAGAGTGGCCCCAGCCAGGGATTTAGCTCAGTGGTGCTGATGCCTGCCTCGCAAGCGCAAGGTCCCGAGTTTGATCCCCAGTACCAAAAAAAACCAGTGGCCCCAGAGTCAACCCCTCTGCTAAAGTTTGCTCTCATGTCACTTTTTTAGACCTTTGCTTTGGTACCTAAACTCCCTAGCAACAGGAATAATCTTATTCATGACACTGGCATAAAGTATCAATTGTAGAAAACATTTTTTGTTTTATGTTTTAACATTAAGTGGAATAATAAAGGAACAATAACATACAAATTAGCATTATCACTGAGGGAGATTGTGTAGCTGATTAAGTTAAATAATATAACTTTGGTGAGCACTGTGGTTTACCTCTCCAATCTGTAAACTGAAATTTGACAGAATACCAAAAATTGTCGGTGTTCTTTGTATAGCCTAATGCAGACCAGAGTTAATACTCATACATAATCTTGACACCATGATGTTAAGTGAAATAAATGAGGCACACAAGCTTAAATATTGCATGGTTTCTTTTACATGAGATACCCCAAATATAAATAAAGAGCAAAGTAACAGGTAGATAATAGGAAGTATGGAGATAGATCTTAAATGGGAAGGGGATAAAGAGTTGAAAGGAAGGGGGATAGGGTATGAAAAAAGGAATTAGATGTGTTATGTACATGTACCTATTCTATACTGCAAACATATGCAGTCCTAAGAAATAAAAGACTCATGTATAATCCAGGGTATAAATTTTTAAATTTATAATGTAGACAATTTGTAATAAGTGCATAGAAAGCTTGTATTGATGGACTAGCATAATACATTTGTTATATAAAACATCAAGACAATCTAAATTACAGTCTTTAGGTTGCTTAATCAGTATAGAGTTGGATCATGGGAAATCTGTTTAAATGTGGCCTAACATCTGGGTCCCAAGAGTTTGTATTAACTATTTTCTGCAGCACATTCATTTGTAATTAAATTATGAGACAAGGCTAATTATTTGGCTATGTCTTTATACTACCTCAGTCTCTTGTAATCTAGTGGCCATTCACTTTTCTGCTCACACATTCACTGCTGTCATTTTTGCCTATGTTGTTAAAGTACTTTTTTTTTCCCCCCCAAAATGATAGAGGTCATGGGTTAGGGACTGAGGCTAATTATATCTCTTCTGCAGGTACCATTGTCTAGATGATAGATGTTTACATTTTAAGGGTCTGTCTTTGAAGGTTGTAGTTATGTTCAAAATGATTAAGAATTCAATGGAAGTCTTAATTATCTCTGGATTATTTAAGACTCATTTTGCTGGAAGTTTGTTGTAACTAGGTTGTAGAGTTGAGTATCAGAGGTTAGTTGGCTAGTATTTAGAAGTGATAATGAGCAAGAATGTTAAAGTTTGGGAATGAAGGACTTTGTTGGTTAAAGGTTAAGCTTTATTCAGTAGTAGTTGTAGTAGTAATAGTAGTTGTAACACAAGCAGTTATAGAAGTAGGAATAATAAAGATTAGGCTAATGAAAGAAGAAAATGATTTCTGAGTGCTATGTGCTAGACACTATGTTATTTACCCAGATTATTTAATCTCTAAAATAGTCCTTGAAAGCTGGAACTCTTATCATGGTCACTTTACAGATGAAGAAACTGAGATTCAAGACAGAGAGCTGCTAATAGATTATAGGGTTAGTTTTTTACTAGGAGTTAAAATTACAGTTGTTGAGTAAACATAAGTAATAATCTTTCCATAAACAGTGTTGAAGAACAGTTAGATATTAAATAGATATATGATTCTGGAACTGTAGTTAAAGGTTATCAAATAAAAGTTAAAGAGATGGGAAGTAGAAGAGAATTCCAGAGAATGCATGTGTATTAAAAGAAATTAAATAATTGTTTTAGGGTTGTAGTGAGCATTCAGTGAGAATCATAGCATGTTAGTGCATACTAAATAAATAATAAATGCCAATTATTTTAATAGAGGTTTGATAGTCTAGGAGACCACCAGTGGTTCTTTGTTTCCATAATTTATAATGAAATACACATATGCATATACAAATATCCATGTGTCCATAATAGTACTTTACATTTACTTAGGGCAGAAATTCATATATAGTATAAGGATATAACTAAAATTTTGAGTTTTGATAACTGCATTACTATGTAATACTGTGTTATATTTGCATTTACTGAGGAATACAGTGCCTTGACTTTTTCTAGTGGATAGTTATTTTTATGGAAGAAAATGACTCAAAAGGTTAGAGAAAGGTTACAAGCAAGTGTTCTCACAAAGTTGCTGAAATAGTAAAATAAAGGAAATAGCCCTTTTCCTGCAGCCTTATCTGATTGAAATAATCATTTGTTTTGGAGCAGTTTGAGCAGATGTTTCTCTATCATGTAGGAGGGGAATTTTAAAAATGACTTTATCGCCAAAGACATCAGAAACTACTGTTGTGCATTTTTTGTGTATTTGTTTATTATCACATCCTTTTAGGACACACAGTTTAATTTCAGTATGTTTCAGGGTCTTTGTGATATGTCTGGAAGTATGACTTGTTTTCTTCGACTATTATTCTCTTTATAGATTTCCATATTTAGTAAGACTAGAATATTAATAATGAAGTACTCTATGAAGTAGCTTCTTCTGTATGTCCATATGCTAGAATGGATTTTTACATCTTTTCAGAGAATTATTATAGTTTGTTATTAATAACCCACCCAGGCACTTAGTTCTTATCTGTTTTATAGATAGCATCCCTCTAGTTTATATCCATGTTGTATATTATTCTTCCCTAAGTGTATTATCTTATACTTTTTTTACATTAAATCTCATCTTAGACCTGTCCTTCCAAATCCCCGGATTGTTCATATCCATCCATCTGCTTGATTGATCTTCTTTATTTTTAATCCATCCTGGCTTTATATCATCTGCAACCTCGATTGTATTTGAATTTACATTTTCTTTCAGGTCATTAGTGAGTGTGCTGGACAGAATAGTCCTTGTCCCTGTGGGACAGTACTACATGTACTGCTATATGTTCTCAGTTTTAACTGTATTGATAATAATTCATCACTTCTTCATGTGAGAGATTCTTTACTGTGCTATACTTTTATACTATTACTGCTTTCTGTGATCCTATCTCAATCATCTTTTTCTAACATACAGATAAAAATTGTTACGTTGCCTTATTTATTTGTGCCATTGCTTAACTTGAAAAAAAAATCTAAGAAATTATTGTTGTTAAATAGACATTTCTTAAAAACTTCCATCAAACATTAGTGGGTCTTTAAATACATACATCTGAAAACATGTTAGAAGTGCTTCCTAAGTCTGCTTTCTCCATGCGAAGGGATATCTAATTAGTTACATTTCAAGTGAAAAAATAACTTTTTTCTACATCTGAGAGGATGATTTAAATATATGTATGCATTTTTTTTTCTGAATGTCATTATATTTTCACAAGAAATTACTGTGCTTCAAATGTGGTTTCTTAGATGGGACTCAGTTCATTTACAATTTATAAACATAATGCAGAGTCATATGTTTATTTTTTAAATTCTATTTTTTCTTTTACTTTCAGGAAAATGAAGAAGTAGATGGGATATCAGTAGGTGCCATACTTTCTGATTATCAGCGTATTCGCGTAGAAAATGTGTAAGAGAACATTAATTTATTAAATGCAATTTTATTTTAAGAATATGAATGAAGAACTCAGTGGTAGAATGTGTGCTTGATGGTAGAGTGTATGAGCAAGGCCCTTGGTAGAATCCCCAACACCACCAAAAAAACCAGAACATGAGTGGAAGAGAATTACATCTAATCATAAATATATCATACATGCTTTATGTGATTAAATGTATGTATTTACCTAAGTAACAAAAGTCACAGTTTTTCTGTTCTTATATCATGGATGAGAAAGCTCTTATTTACTATAAAGAAAAATAAATAATATACAGTTACAAATTTGGACAAAGAATGTTTGTGTGTATGTGATTTTGGAAATTAAATACAGACCCTAGCACATGCTGAGCAAGCACTGTAGCACTAAGCTATATCCCCAACCCCAAGACATTTTTAAATTGGTAAAAATTATCTTAATTTTTTTCCTTCTTTGATTTAGTAGACTGTTTTTCAGGGGTTTTTTATTAGTACATATTTGCAGTACGTATGAGTACATGCCTTGAGAGTTGGTACATGTACATAACACATCTTAATTCTTTTTTCCTCCTCCCTTCCTCTCCCCTGTCCCTCCATCTCCTGGTCCCTTTCCATTTGAAAAAGATCTCCCTTTTTCCTATTACTTTTTTATCTTGCTGTGTATTTATATTTTGGGTCTCTCATATAAGAGAAACCGTGTAATATTTAAGCTTGTGTGTCTCATTTATTTCACTTAATATTATGGTCTGAAAATGCATCCATTTTCCTACGGATGACTCAGGTTTATCCTTCTCCGTTGTGTGTAGTATTCCATCGTATATAAATACTAAATTTTCTTTATCCAATCATAATGACCATATATGCTGCTTCTAAGATTTAGCTATTATGATTTGTGCTGCTATAAGCATGGGTATGTATGTATCACTGTAATATGATGTCTTTGATGCTGTTGTACAGATACCTAGAAGGGAAAATACCTGGGTCAAATTAAATCTTTAGCTTTAGTTTTCTGTGGAATCTCCATACTGATTTCTATAATAGTTGTACTAGTTTAATTCCCACCAACAATGTAGAAGCGTTCCTATTTACCCTCAGCCTTGCCAGTATTTGTTATTAATTGGTTTTTTGATGAGGACTGTTTGTTCTGGGGTAAGATGGAATCTCAGTATTATTTTAATTTGTATTTTTCTAATGGCCAGCAATGTTGAGCATTTCTTCCTGTATGTATTGGCGATTTGTACTACTTCTGTGAAGTGTCTATTCATTTCACTTGCATATTTTTTGATGGGGTCTTTTATTTTGTGGGTCTCGTGTTTTTAGTTTTGTATATATTGTAGATATTAGTCTTCTGTCTGAGAAATAGCTGCAACAAGTTTTTCCCATTCATTAGGTTTTCTTTTCATTCTTTTGTACTGTTGTTGATTTCCTTTGCTGTGCAGAAGCCTTTTAATTTGATTTGATCACATTTGTTGATTCTTGCTACTATTTTCTGTGCAGCTGAGATTCCGTTGAGAAAGTCCTTGTCTATGCCTATGACTTCAAGTTTTACCTATTTTGTCTTCCAGTAGGTTAAGTGTTTCTGTTTTAAGGTTTAGTTCTTTGATCATTTTAATTTTAATTTAGTACATGGTGAGAGATATGCATCTAGATTCAATCTTCTGCATGCAGATAGCCATTTCCTAGCATCATTTATTAAAGAGCCTATCATTTCTCCAGTGAAGTTTTTGGCCCCTTTGTCAAAGATCACATATGTTAGTTGAATATACTTGGGGTTGTTTCTGCATGCTGTGCTCTGTTTCATTGATACTCATGCCTGTTTTTGTGTCAGTCTCGTGCTGTTTTTATTGCTATAGCTTTGTAATACAACTTCAAGTCAAGGATTTTGATGCCTCCCACTTAATTCTTGTTACCCAGGATTGCTTTTGCTCTTCTGGGTCTTTTCTGGTTCCATATTAATTTTGAGATTGTTTTCTCCAGTTTGAGAAGAATCCTATGGTTATTTTGATTGGGATTGGGTTTATTCACTATGTCAGTTTTGGAAGTAAGACCATTTTGACTCAGTTGGTTCTGCCTAACCAGGAACAAGTGATATCTTTGCATTTTCTATTGTCTCCTTCAATTTCATTTTTAGAGCACTGTAGTTCTCATTGTAGAGCTCTTTCACTTCCTTACTTAGGTTAATTCCTAAGTAGTTAACTTTTCTTGGTGCTATTATGAACAGCAATTTTTCCTAATTTCCTTCCCAGTGAGTTCATTATTAGTGTATAGAAACACTAGTGATTTTTTTGTGTATTGATTTTATATCCTGAGACAATACTGGATTTGGTTATTCTAAGAGTCTTTTGATGTTTTTTTTTTTTTTTTTTTGGTCTTCTATGTAGAAGATCTTGTCGTGTGCAAATAATGGTACTTTGACTTCTTCCTCCTACACATATCCCTTTTATTTTTTCCTCTTGCCTGATTGCTCTGGCTAATATTTCAAGAACTATGTTGAACAGGAGTGGTGATAATGGACAACCTTGTTTTCTTTCTGATTTTAGGAAAAATGCTTTCAGCTTTTCCCATGTAAGATGATGTTGGCAGTAGGTTTGTCATAATGGCTTTTATCTGATTTAGGTAAGATCCTTTTATCCCTATTTTAGTGTTTCTGTCATGAAAGTATTTTGGATTTTGCCAAAGGTTTTTACTGTATCTCTTGAGATGATCGTGTGATCTTTTTTCCTTGTTTCTGTTTGTGTGGTATATTATATTTACTGATTTGTGTATCTCCAATTATCCTTGTATCCTTGGGATGACATCTACATGGTCATGATGTATGACCTTTTTGATGATTTGGTCCATTCTGTTTGACAGAATCTTGTTGAGGATTGTTGTATCTATATTCCTTAAAGAGATTAGTCTATCGTTCTCTTTTTTTGGTTGGATCCTTGTATGGTTTTTTAAATAAAGGTAATGGTAGTTTCCAGGAATGACTTTGGGAGTACTCCCTTCCTTTCAGTTTCATGAAAGAGCTTGAAGAACATTGGTGTTAGATCTTCACTACAGTTTTCGTCAGATTCTGAAGTGAATCCATCTGGAACTAGGCTTTTTTATTGTTGCTTCGGTTTCATTGTCTGCTACTGGATTATTCAGGGTTTTAAAATCTTGGTTCAGTGTTGGTAATTTGTATGTAACCAGGAGTCTATTTCTTCTGAATTCTGCAATTTCTTGGCTTACAGGATTGTGAAGTAGTTAATAATCTTTTTTATTTTAGCAGTGTCCATTGTGACTTCACCTTTTCATTTATAAATGAATTATTTGGGGTTATTTATTTATTTATTTATTTATTTTTGGTAAGATCAGCTAGGGCCTTGTCTATTTTGTTGAAGTCTATGAGAACTTCTGGGAGGATATAATACCAGTACTCTTCTTGGTTTCTTTTATATGAGAAACTCAGAGTACAGATACATTATAGAGTAAAATAAAAGATAGAAAATACCAAACAGGGAGGTAGAGCTTTTTCAAATGGGAAGAGGACCAAAAGATCAGTTGAGGGAACAGAGAGGGGAAAAGAAGGGGATGTGAAAAGAATTAAGATGTGTTGTGTATATGTGCCAACTCCACATAATGGATGTAATCATTATGTAGTAAAACACATACTAATAAAATAAAAACTAAAAGAAAAAAATTGATGAAAGGTATTGCAAGGATTTTTAACTCAAGCAGTGAGGAACCACTGTAGGCTTTTAAGCAGAATCTCATTATCTGTGTTTTAAAAGAATCACTCTTCTGTTCTATTGAAAGTAAAATTTTAAAATGTCAAGGGTGAATGAGAGTGTCAGCTAGTACAACCACTGTGGAAATCAACATGGAGATTCCTCAGAAAACTAACTAGAAATTCCATTTGATCCAGCTATTTCACTTCTAGTTATCTTCCCCAAAGAGATAATGACGTCATATTACAGTGATACCAGCAGCACAATTCATATGAGCTAAATCTTAGAAGTGGCCTATACATCCATCAACAAATGAATGAATAAAGAAAATGTGATATTTGTACACTGGAGTACTGCAAACAGTGGAAAAGGATAAATTTGAGTCATTGATAGGAAAATGGTTACATCTTGAAACCTTAATACACAAACTTAAAGTATTGCGTCATTTCTCTTATATGAGAAGAGCAAAGTAAAAAATAGATAATAGGAGAAAGGGAGATAGATCTTTTCAGATGGAAAGGGGACCAAGAGATGGAGGAAGGGGGAGGGGGGGAGAGGATGAAGAAAGAATTGAGATGTGTTATGTACACGTACCAATGTCCCGCAAGGAATATGATCATTATGTTTTACAAATATGTACTAATAAAAACTGGGAAAAGAAACCAGGACAGATGAGTCAGGGGAAGAAATAATATTGACATGGGAGATAATGGTGGCACAACCAGGGTGTTAGCAGTGCATTGGTGAAGGATAATTATATTTTGCACTGTGATAAATTGCATACGCAGTCTAAAGAAAACAAGGGCAAAACATGACTTCACGTTATTGTCTTTTGCTCTCAAAAAAGTTGAAAGCAGATATTTCTGCCTGTATTCATGAACTAGGAAACAACTTAGAATTGTTAAGGACAACAATTTAGAGTTTATTTGACTTGCCAAATCAAGATAGAGTGCAGAATAAAGTTTCAAACCCTGATTTGTTGTAATTTTAATGCCCATATTCTTTCCTCTTTACCACAAATACAAATCTAGCACAGTGCCTGTAGTTTATTAGATGCTCAATTTATTCTACTTTTTGTTACTTTTTTCTTTACATTCAGAGTCAGATACTTGAAAAAATTCAAAGTAAGTAGATACAAATACTTTATGGTTCATATATATTTAATATATGGTTAAATATAGACTGCTTGCAATTTTAGTATCAATGGACAGTTTTTAAAATTAGAATATATCATCCACTGATATTTGTAAGCTTTTTACATAGATTTCTAACTAAAATTAATAATTTTAGTCTGTCTGGAGATTTTATTTTTATATATTTATTGATAGCCCATGGAAAAGAAATGTTTCTGTTATGTAAGTAAGCTTCATATACAAGACATGTTTTTCTGCATTTTAGTTGCTTTGTTTTTGTTTCTGTTTTTTTCAATTCTCTTTTGGTGCTGAGGACTGAACCCAAGGCCTTGTGCTTGCTGGGCAAGCACTCTACCACTGAGCCAAATTCCCAGTCCCAAGATGTGTTTTTAAAATCTAAAATTTAAAGGCTAAAATTCTTGAAACTGTTTTGTTTAAAATTAAAGCAATGGTTTTGACTGTAAGTGTGGAATATCAGGTTATTATCTGAGTTATTTTTTGATTTTTTTACCTTATAGGTGTAAAAGACTTAATCTCCAGCCTTTAGCGTACCTTTGGCAGAGGAACCAGGAAGATTTGCTTCGAGAGATGATAGCATCTAACATACAAGCAGTCATCATCAAAGTAGCAGCTTTGGGTATGTAGTTAAACTTTTAAGGGAGATATCTGTTACCAAATAGATAATCTCACTTCACTAGTAAGTGCTTACAGTGAAAAAGGAAGACTGATTTAGAACATAAAAATTTGGACTCACAAGTTGAAGAAATCAAGTGAGCATCTTGTATAAAGAAGTGAAAAATTGAAAATGGACTTTTGAACTTTTGCCAGATTGATTACTAGTGAGCTTCCCTATTTGAATGTATAACTTATTCTGTTTTGTTTTGTTTTTATTTTTTGGACAGGGTCTCACTATGTAGTTCAGGCTGACCTTGAACTCACTATGTAGTTCAGATTGACCTTGAACTCAAGTGATCCTCCCGCCTCAGCTTCCCAAGTGCTGAGATTACAGGTGTACGCCACCACACCTGGTGTATAGCTGACTCTTAAATTGGTGTTATATTATGTTTCTTTGATTTATTTATTTATGTATGTATGTATGTATGTATGTTTCTTTGATTTAAATACTTACAGGATTGGTATATTAGTCAGCTTTCCCATTGCTGTGACAAATTACCTGACAGCCTCAATTTAATGAAATAAAGATACCAAGTCCTTTGATTTCAGTTCATGGCAGGCTGGTTCTAAGGCTAAAACATCATTATAAGGCCTGGTGCCCATTTCATGGTGACCAGAGGCAGATCATAAGAGAAAGAGCACCAGAAGAAGGTCGAAGGATCAGAAATACTCCCCAAAAACATGCCCCCATGATCTACCCAGAGCTAGCCAGAGGTGTGCTTTACTACTTTAAGTCTCTCAAGCTAAGCAAGTTGACAACCAAGCTTGCCTATTGTCAAGGTATGGAGGAAACAAGAAATTTGGGGACTCTTGGGGGCTTTTATATTTGTTTTTTTAAAAACTTCTTAAAATATATATTTGGCACACATACATGATTTTGTTTTTCATATTTTAACACTTTTCCTAATACTGAAATAGCCTTTTGGTGTTATTAATAGGGAAGTGGATTTTATTGAGGATCTAAGAAAACCACGTTTGAGAGAATGTTATTTCATTAGTCGATGTAGACACAGCAATCAGATAATATCAGATGATAATCTGATTCAAATGTGGATATTATATATGAACAGATTTAATTTGCTGTTTTGAATTTTTGTTTTATAGTTATATACATTTTTGAGAAACTATAGTGTTTGAGCCTAATGCATTTATTTCATGAACCTATTTCACAAAATGCCCTGGACCCTCAGCATTCCCAATCCTGAATATTGTGCTTCATTTTAGAATATTTACCTTGCTGATCTCTGAAATAATAAATTTTTGAGTTATGAAAGACTTTACAGTTAAGTTCACATTTTAAAAAGAATTTAAAGGTAAAGAATGCAGATCTCATAACATTTCTCCGTGGTAAACACCACACTACCTTCTCCTCTATGAAGTCAAGGTTTTATCTTTAATGGGAACCCTTGTATGCAGAACCCTCAGCTGATCTCTTGTGAAAATAAGAAAAAATAATTTGGTGTTATCTTTTCATTTATGAGAAAAAGTTGCTAAACAGCCCTATGGAGTTCTCACTGTAAATAGATTTGTCATATGAGATTCTATGTGCATGTTCTTCTACTTTCTTTTTTGCTCTCTTGTTAGGATTTGCTAAGATTGCCTAGTTCTATAATGATACATTACCAGAAGGTATACATAATATCACCTTTACTGCTAAATAATGGACTATATTAGGACCCAGAGAGAACTTCCTTATTGGAAAGACAGAGCCATAGAATTCAACATCATTGTCATCTCTTTGATAGAATACAATAAATATTGTATGTCCTCTCATTTCTGTATGTGCCCCCAAGTTGGGGGTTAGCAATGACAAGGTAGCTGTATTAAACCTTTGGTTGAAGTAAAAACTGAAGTAATTTGTCCTGGGTATCTCTGTATCAAAAGTATAGATCTGATTTTAACATTTACAGCACATGCTTTCTAGTGATTACCTATAGGCATGCAAAGATGAACTTTATTTTTAAGATGAGTATTAAAGAAAGATTTATTGAGTGACACAATCCTTCTAAAGACATTAAAATTGTCTGAAAAAGATTTAAGGGGAAAAAAATGACCTTTCAATGGGAAAGGTGTCTTATGGGCATCAGTAAAATTTTCACACTAGCACCTTAGTATTTATAGGACTTTCTACTGCTTTTTAGATTTATTTAAAAATTGTTTTCTCATTGGATTTAAAAACAACCCAACCTTTTAGAAATACTTGTTTTTGATTATATGAATATTATATGAAAACATTCTGAAAGATACATATAAATGATAATTATCCTTTAAGATCACTTTTTGTATGAGTATATATATATATATATATATATATATATATATGTTGAAATAGTAAATTTATTATCATATGAGTGGTATCTTATTCTGTGTATTGAACTACAACTTCCTTTTTTTGTTTCAAAATATATCTTGGGGGTCTTTTTTCTATAATAGTGAATGTAGACCTACCTCATTTTTTCTTTAAGAATCTTTTTATTGAAATATAATATAAATATAAAAAAGTAAAATCCTAGGTGTCAAGTGGATGTATTGTCATAAAATAAACATAATTGTATAATCAATACTCAAATGTAAATATAACACATCACTAACATCCTATTCAATACTTACCCCCTCAAGGTTAACAAGTCCCCTGATAACCTAAAATCATAGATTAGTTTTTCCTGTTTTAAAATTAGTTATTTATTTAATTAATTCAGTAGTTCTAGGGATCAAACCTAGAGTCTTGGGCATGCTAGACAAGCATTCTACCAGAGCTGTGTCCCCAGCCCTATTTTTAAAATTTGTATTAAAGAAATCATGTAACATGTTCTCTATTGTATCTGACTTCTTTTGCTTAGTGTATATTATTGAGTGAAATAATAGTGTGTTCATTCTCATTGTATTCTGACATTGCAAGAATATACTACAATTTAATTGTCCTTTCTGCCACTGATGAAATACAGCTGGTTTCCAGTTTGGCAGTATTATAAATGGTGCTGATATGAACATATGGGTCATCTTGAACACTTTAAGTTCCACACCTAGAAAATTCTTTTTTTTCTTTTCAAAAATCCCTGGTTTCTTTTAGTATGAAATGACATATATTTATGTATTTGTATATATGTGTATCTAACACCTTATTAGTTCATATTTTGAAATCAAATTGAGAACTATAATAATTCTATATGTTTTCTTCCACAATTAAAAATCTTGATTCTTTAGAACACACAATATGCTTTTTATTAGAAAATGTAATAATTACTGGCAACAAAAAGGCCAACTAGCAGGTCTGTTATCCATTCTTTCCTGTAATTGGTGTATACTCCTTTGAAAGAAAGAAGTCATATAATCTCCTTGTAAGGATATTAATTGCGGATCTCATGGCAGAACAAAAAAAAATCATACTGATTAATAGAGGGGAGGAGCTGTTGTTTTTGGACTGCTTTTAGCAGGATTCACCTGGTTGCTAAAAGATAGAGCGAGATAACAATGGAACCAAAAGAAAAGAGAGTCAACTTTTACCCATCACTAGAAAACCTTTTGCTTAAAAAGTACATTAGGTTATAAAATATCTAAATCAATAGAAAAACTATAGAGGTTTAAGGGTTAGCTAATTAGATGATTTGGTACTAACATTGAGTTTGAATGGAAGTAATACCAGAGCTGTACTGATAAGATTTCTAGGATTTTTTTTTTGTATTAAATTCTTTTATTGGTACATTGTAGGTATACAACAGCATTACATTTCTCATTGGGAATTGTACCTTTACATAATGCATCTTGGTTCTTATTTTTTCCCCATTCCTAGCCCTCCCTTCATGCCCTCCACCCT